ATGAGGTAACCGTGGGGAAGTTCTATGCCACCTTCCTGATACAGGACTACTTTAGGAAATTCAAGAAACGCAAAGAACAAGGACTGGTGGGGAAATATCCTGCGAAGAATACCACAATTGCTCTGCAGGTGATTCTGTTTTTACTTTTTTAACTAACCATTTTGTGACCTTACTTGAAATAGCAGGTAGATGAATATTGATGATTGTGCAATGCTGCCAGGATTTTATTTAGCTGGGACACTTTTGGCCCTTATTCATCAGAAAAGTAAAACGTAATCCTGCTATTCTGTTATAACAAGGTAAGTGCAAAAAGTTATTCTCTATGGATTACTCCAACAGTAGCAAGGGTTATAAAATCTCGTAGCAAGTCTTGTTGATACATTGCAGTCTAAAGTTGCAGGTTCAGAATTGGATAAATAAAGTTCTGAGCTATCATTTATGTTCGTTTTGCTTTAACCGTTTAATATTTTGTGTTCTTACAATGGCATAAGCCAGTTCTCAGGGAACTTCCTAATATGCATGACCTCACAGTAAAGAGGGTTTTATATAGTTTTATCATTTCTTAATTCTCATTGTTCCTTTCCTTTTCCACTTTTGACTACTAGTGAAAAACCTTCCTGTTTTTTATTTGCAAATTCCGAATTCCACATTCTTCAGTTTTTTTCACAGGAAGTAATATTAACATACTGCATTAATGTCACACACTTCTGTCTGTCTCTTGAAACAAGCTATCAAATGGAAACCAGGACAATAGATCTGTCTGTCAACAGGCCTGCAGCAAGCAGTCCATAGAGTACACGTGATCTAAAGGGCAAATTCTGAAAACTTCTGTCCAGTGGTACCCTTTCTATTATGAATTTTGAAACAGGCAAATGGAAGGCTGTTCTCAAATAATTCCAGACATCATACACTGCACCATTTTTATTGGATTGGGACTTTATGAATTTCAGTTAATGCTGAGTAGTTTACTACAAACTATAAATACTTTAATGTTTCTGATAATTTTTTACTCTGATGCCAAAATTTATGAATATGTTATGAAAATTCCTTTCTAAAAGAGGAGAAATGTGTTAACCTGATTTAGCTACTGTTTTCTTTGTTAAAAAATCTTGTTGCTTTATACTTCAGTTTAGCAGAACAATCTTTGCTGTGTGAAGTGAGTAATTTGTTTCATTCCTGTGTCCTAAAAATGCCTCTGCTGGCAGCTCTGACACACACTGTGTCACAAGTCACCACAAGCATAAGAGATGCAGCAAGCAGGGAGAGGTTCATCACAATTCTTGCTATTGATTTGGGAGCAAATGGCTTGCCAGGAAATGTATGAACCATATTTGCATAGTAGGAAAGATGAGAAAATTGTTGGGAATAGAAGTGATAAAAAGACTGGAAACAGTTGAGAGGAAAATGAAAGACGTTGGATTTTTAGGAAGGCCTTTGCAGACTTCTCTATTGCAGAAGCATTGGAACATAAAGAGCTCAAAGTTAGTTTTAAGCCACAGTATTACAGGTTTCCGCTTGTGTTTTTGAAGTTTCACACATAAAAACATAGAAACAAACACTGAGTTTTCAAACGTGAGCGTGCTCTGTTGTTTGTTACCAGATTGTTCAATGACAAAAGTAGAGGGCAAGATGGAATTGGAAAGAATTAACTCTTCCTTCATCTTTAGACAACTATTTTTTCAATTCAAAACAGGTAAAAAAATGGCCATGAATCTCTGCTAGGAATCTACAAAGGCTTATGGGATTTGAGGCATGGCACATTTTTTTTTCTGATTAAAATAATGCTCCTGTGGGAATAAAATGAGACAGGCCAGTAGATGGGAAGGTTCTTCATTTCTTTTTTCCCATGTTCTTCTTTTGCCTTACTAACAAATCAGTAGTAGCTCAACTTGATTTACCTAACAGAAGTGAAAATGCCATTTCAAAGAAACCTGAAATCTATAATCGGGAAATAGCCCAGTCCTACAGGTTTTTGATCCAGGATATAAAGGAATAATATGACTCCATACTGGAAACTGCAGCAAGTAAAATTCAAAGTCAAATTGTCACATTTGTTAGAATAATTATTTTTACGAGGATACAGCTTCAAAACAGACCTGGATATCTTTCTAAAAGAGATGTTCTACTTCAACAAGGATTTCATTTCTTCAGATCAAAGCCCTTGAGAACAGTCCTGTGGGATAGAGAAGTTGGTATAAATGATCACAGAGGATCCTTGTGGTTCTATAATGTATAAAAATGGGGCATGTTTCTGGTTTTGGCCTCTTCGTTCCAGACTTGCTTTGTCCAAAGCTCAAATGGTTATAAGTGTTTTCAAAAACCTGTGGTGTTAACACCCATTTTTTGGCAGCATAATTTATGGGTATACCATCCAATTTACTTCTCAACTCAACAGGCATTTTTGGCTGTGTTTACCTTTTTTTTGTTGTTTTGAGAACTTTCTTTTTGAAATTAGAAACTTCCTGTAGTCAGGGCAGGCATGTTACTGCAGCAGCCGCTTTTATTTACTTTCTATAAACTAGTTAAGATTTCACAGTATCTAGAGTCGTGATAGTACCACTGCAAACTGCCTCTGCTTTCTGGATTTGAGAAAGTCCAGCAGAAGCTGGGCTACGTCTGTCTGTAATTTTTTGAAATTCTCTATCATTTTGAAATTTCTCTATCATTAAGAACCTTTCTATACCAGTAATTGTTTGCTTAAAGCTTTAAATAACATGAGGAAAGTACTTTTTTCAGGCTAATAAGAAAAGGTTTTCCAGCCATCTGATTCTTCTATTTGTAAAGAACAAGACCAACTGTATTTTCATATTCTTGTTTACATCTTCTCTCTATTGCAGACCAGTTGTCAGGCTGCAAAATCCTTAAGCAGACCAGCAGATAAAAGGCAGTGTCACCTGTTCCAATTTGTGTCTGAAGCCATATGAGCAACAGATGCTCTTGTACTTTTGCTGATACCTGTGACTTTCTCTTGGGGTAGTTGACCTAGTTAATTAGTGAAGACCATGGTTCCTAAGGATCTAATAAACCATACAGTGCCAACATTATCTAGCCTGGCTTTCCTTATCTCCTTTCTGCTGTGAGAAAGGGAGAAAACAACCTGCTATCAGGCTTTACAGTCCTTTCCTAACCGTTGAATGAAGTAGAAGATGAGTCATAGTTTTATAATCCTGCTGATTCTTACAGTTGTTACACTTTTCCTGCTTCAGAGAGTAAACAACCTCTGTGAGAGAGAAGGCACATGCTCCTTGTGACAAAATCCCATGTGTTTTAGTTCTCAGGACAACTGTTAGTCAAGAAATTAATGTATCTTGCCATTTTCCCTGTTTCATGAGAATCCAATAGAATTTTTTTAATGCAGATTACTTCTTTGCCTTCCTTTATTCCTGGTGTTCTCAGTAGTATTTTGTTGGGGTTTTGAAGGTTGGTTTGTTTCATTTTTTACAATAGTTTCATTTTGTACTTTTGAAGATACTGAAGAGAAATCCTGTCACTGTCAAATGGCCTAAGGCACTGTTCTTCCAAGAGAGTTACACTTACTTTTTTTTTTTTTAAACTAATCCTTTAGTTATAATCTAGGATAAGGAGTTGGATGCCTTGCTTTTTGCTAAAACTGTTTAAAACATTTACTTCTCATGGTGCTATCTCTGGAATGGCTTACAGGCACTGGGTTGAGTCAGGAAAAATAGAACATATCTCCCTGCAAAACTAGATTTGCTTTGTGAATACCAGAGCATGCAGCAGGCAGGAATTCCCCTTCTTACCCCACAATAACTTCATTTGGCATGATTTTTGTTCTGTAGAGCTGAGGTTTTCCTCAAGGATGTAGCATTTGCTGTTAGCCCAACACAGCTGCTGTTTGGGTACGTGTCAGAGAGGAGGAGGCAGCCCAGAAAGTGAGATGGGTCTCAGGGGAATGATTAGCTGCTCAGACTATTAAGTCAAGAAAATATTTTTGCTATGAAGTTTCAAATTCCTCCTCACTCAGAAAAGGACACTTCAAATTATAACCAACAGTAGTTTCTCTAAACTTGCATATTGGCACCGAAAACATCTTCAGAACCGCAATAACAATATCTCTGGGAACTCCACTGGCTGTCTTTTGCAGACCCAGGGGTTTTCACCTCTTATGAAGGGAAGAAAACAAGTGGCTCTGAAATAACACATGACCAGTTTATGTTAGATATCTACTGCCATTTTTGTGATGTTATACATGCTCCTAGGTCACGAGAAAAAAGGTGCCTTTCTTATGCTGATACTTATCCAGTGAGAACAAATATATTTTCTGGGTCAGAAAGAAATGTCTTTGTGTAATGATGGAAATTTGTATTGAGCCAAACAGTAGTCACGTTGCTAGTAAAATAAATGTTAAGTGAAGCATGAAGAATTTTAATTGCTTTCATCTAGTACTTAGGGGCAATGAATTAATTCTGCACTATTTTTCCTAGGAAAATACTTACTGTATTTTTCTGTACTTACTGTATATACTTACTTACTATACTTACTGTACTTACAGTGTAAGTAACATTTGCAGCTATTTTTCGCATTCATTTACAAGTAACACGTTTTGTTAATACACACAAATAAAAGATATTTCCCTTGCCTCCTACAGAAAAGCACTGATTTAGTGAGCTGAACATGATTTTTAGAATCATGTTTCAGATTAAATTAATCATGCTTTTTTCTCTCTGCAGATGTTATAACTGATATTACCCCACAGTAAACATTAATAGAAAAAGGAAAAAAACCCAACCCTCTAGTAGGCATCAGCTGAGGGGTTAATCTGTAGCTCCAGTTCCATTGAATTGTGCTCCCATGCTGATGTGGTGTTCACAGGAGGGCTTAGCTCGAAGGCAGTCTGAGTTGGACTGAGAGCAGAGCTTTTGTGTAGTTGTGGAGCAGCAGTCGGTGTTGGGAGCCGGGCTCTGTGAGGATGAACAGCTCTGGGGAATCACGACTCGCCTACTATGTCTCTTATGTTCACTGCTATAGTGTAGGTCTATCCAGCTATTTCTCTGCACGCCTATTTCCTTATTTCAGTAGTTCTTGTGTTGTATTCTGTTTGTACTAACCTCAGTTTATTTTTGTGTTGTCAGAGTAGCTTTGAGATTTTATGTTCTTTTTAGTTTTCTCTGCTATAAAATAAGCAGATAGTAAAAACGTGTTCATTATCTACAAATGTAATGGTTTATTTGAACATTTTTAGAGTCATAGGCTTTCAGGACTCTGAAACTCTGAAGACCTAAGGATTTAGAATAAATATTTATGCTTGTTCCAGATCTATTGAGTTTATGCAGCAATATACATAAGTATACATCATTGTTCTAAAGGCTGTGAAGCAAAGCTTACCAGTGTTTTCCATTTCCTGATATCATTCTAAGATGCCTCAAAAGAGGGACCATTGTGTATTTTATGTGACTGGAAATAGTTTAGATGATAATGATTCTTACTATTTAAATAAGGGTATTGTGCTTGCAGCTCTTAATCTAAGCTTAAACTGCATCTATATGTAGGTTGGACCATACCTCACAATGCTTGTAGACTGAGTTTAGGTACAGGGAAAACAATCTTTTTGTAGTTCCAGTATTTATAAGCATTTAAACATTTTTCTAGAAGTCATGACTCTGGCATCTTGAATTATACACAGATTTCTTAATACAAGACATATATCTAAAATGGTGTAACTGTTTTATGCATACTATAGACATGGAAAAATTGATTTAAAATGTATTTGGCATTTTTTATAAACAGTCTTTTCAAAATATTTAAATGTTTAACTTTAAAATGTTCTGATGTTTTGGTGTGAGGTGCTTTTTAAGCCTCTTAGAGAGTCTCTCTCTCTAAACAACCAATACAGGGATACAGTTATTGGCCATATGACATTTTTTCTCCCCAAGGGACTCCTGCAGTTCTGTTTTTGCAGCATTTGAAAGCACATACGTGTCATCTCAATGGTGTGTTGGAGACAGGGGCATCATTCATTGTCTCTTGAGATGCTGTTTAGGACCCAGCACTGGTGTCTCAGTGCCTTGTGCCATCTTGATGACACTGCAGGTGCTGTTGTGCCTCCTGAAGCACAGCTGCACAGAATTACCATCTTCATTTGAAGTCATCTTGTGCCTTTATGGGAAAGCCTAATTAAAGGCATGTCTGGGTTTGTCGTGTAATTATGTTGTTCAGCGCTCTGTGTGTCACTGGTTTGCTAAATAACCGTTGGACTGGTTCATCTCATCTTTCTCAAGCCTACAAGGAAAAAATGAAGGAAGGAAGGCTTAAAAATTAAATTTTGGAGTGAGGATGTGTCTGAACAAGAATTAACTTCTTTTTCCAACTTCTAGTGAAACCTCTAGAATAGAGTTAGAGCAGTCAAACACATTAGTCTCTTTTCTTCCTTTACTTCAAAGAAACAACAAAACAGAAAAACCTGAGGAGAAAGTACAGATGTTCTCTGGCAGAACAGCATGGATAGTTCAATCATGCAATTTTGATCAATGTTATCCCTATAGAATTGGTGCCTAAACACATTTCTGGCATGTGTTATCTGTTCTGTTATAGACTCTTTCATCTTCCATTGTCTGTGATGAAAACAAAATCTACTGAAAGGTATAGGGTAAAACATTACATGCACATAAACATTAACACCCATATGTCATTGCAAGAGGTCTGTTACATGGAAATGAGTATTACTGGAGAGAGATGAGCTGATAGAGGCTGCCTGCTTTCTCTTGAGTAAAGGAGGGGTAATTCACTAAGAAGTAAGCCAGAAGGCAATTGGAAATGTAATCAAAATTAAATCATTATTCAATATGTTGCTGTCAAATGTGGCTTTTCTCAGGTCCTAGGCATATATTTGTGGGACTTAGTCACAATTTGGCAGACAGGAATATGAGATGGTTGTTTTTGTCAGGGTTAAAATTTACAATACTGCTGTCTGATAGTGTTGTGTTCACAGGAGGGCTTAGCGCCAGGGCAGTGTGGGTTGGACTTGAAAGCACAGAGCTTTTGTGTGGTTGTAGGGCAGTGCACTCAGTGTCAGCGCTGGGAGATGGGCTCTGTGAGGATGAATAAATCTGGGGACAAGACTTGACTACTGTGTCTCTTGTGTTCACTGCTGTAGCCTAGGTCCGTTTGGCTATTTTATTGCACCCTTATTTCCTCATTTTAGTAGTTCTTGCATTGTATTCTATTCACAAGGTTATTTTACTGTTAAAGTGTCAATGTAGCTTTGAGGTTTTTTGTTCTTTTTAGTTTCCTTTGCTATAAAGTAAGCAGGTAGAGAATGTGAAATGCAAGTGACTATTCTTGCTAATGATCAAAAATAATAGCAATCCTCTGCTAAATAAATAGTGCCTTTGCCTATGCTAAATAAATAGAAGCCTTTGGTCTCCTACTTGAAAATCTGTACCTTACAGTGTTAATTTTACTTCCCTTTAGCACCTTACAAAATGACAACCATTAGCCACCTTGCTGAGATTTTGACTGTGCAAGTAGCTTGAGAAGTGGGAGAAAGCACACTGTATTCATGAAATGTGTATTGTATATTAACTCACTAGTAAATGATTTTTAGAGCCTTGTTCAATTATAGTGTAACTCTCAAAGTTCAGCCCTGAGGAAGAAAATTTAATTGCCAAATACATGTAGCTAATGTGATCAGTCAGGCACCTTTTTCAGGAGGTGAAATACTGGGATGAGTGAAACCTGCAGAGCAGCCTGTGGTAAATCTACACTGTTGGATTAAAAGTTTTTGGTTCATCCCTTTCCAGGTTCTGATTGCCCACACTGCGTAAATACCTTTTTTCTCCTCATCAAACCAACTTTTTCTGTTTTGAGTGGGAATCTGACTGTGATGCAGTTGTATGTTCCTGGGAATGTGTGTGAGAACAGCAGGAATGGGACTAAGCCATGTTTGGGGCCCTCCAAGGTCCTTCAGCTCCAGCTGGAGCTCTGAAACACAAACAAAATTCTCTACACATCCTTATGCCACCCAGAGCAAGTAAGATGCAATGGCAGTGTTATGCCATAGAACTAAAGCTCTGATGGGCTGGGAAAACCTTCAAAAAATGCACAAAAAGAATCAGGTTTTTAGATAATAATCAAATATTAAGCCAAGTGCTGTGCATGTTTTTTGGTAGTGCAAGTGTAATGGTAGTAAGGAGTTAAACACATCTTTGATTTCTTCTGAACCTGACGAGATTAAACAAAAAGGAGTTGCAAAGAACAAGACTGTGTTTCTTGCTTTGGACCAGAGTTAAAACAGGAAAAATGTCTCCTCTCTATGCAAGGCAGGCCTGTACAAAAACCCTGAATTCTTGACATGGGTGTGAGATCTGTTTCCTCTCTAATGTGCAGGTCTGTCCTTGACAAGTCTCAGCATTTTCCCTTTTCCTAAAGGTTGCTTGTGGTGGCAGACTTGAGAAGACTGTGAACTGGTGTACACTGAGGTCCATACTGCTGTAGCTAAATGATCTTCTGCCCTAAACTAAAATTTTAAATCAAGTATCTGTGTATCAAAGTGCAGTGCAGATGAGCTGGAATTATTTCACTGCTTTCTTTTCCATCTGAGCTCCGCTAAAATTGCTGTTGCTGTAGCAAAAATCTCCTTGTGTTTCCTTTGTGGACACAGGCTGCAAACATTTAATACACATCTCATTGAAATGCATTTTATTATAGTTCTTGCTGATTACTTATACCTTATTACAAGATGAATCCTATTTCTGTAAGGGCCCATAAATATCAGTGGTCTTTTAGTCAGTATCTACACTGTGATAATAAAGACGTGATCACCTCACCAGGGTTGTGCTGGAATATATAAGCCTTTTATTAAACAGTAAAGAAACTTAACAGTAGGATGCATCCTGTGTGGATGTCAGGATATGAAAACTTGCTAACTGTCCTTTAAAATAAATTAAAGAGCGACAAAGAATTTGCATTCCTAATGTATTATGATATTGTCATTGATTTAGGCAGGACTAAGGACACTTCATGATATTGGCCCTGAAATACGCCGAGCTATATCCTGTGACTTGCAAGATGATGAACCAGAGGAAAACAATCCAGAGGAGGAGGAAGATGTTTATAAAGTAATGTCAGAACACAACCACGTGCATTGTTTTATCGTATAATATGAGATTAAAGAATGAGCTTATCCTTGAATATGAAATAATATATATATACTAAACCCCTCAAATCAGCAAAATATAAATATTTTATAAATAAGTATATTTTATGTATAGATCTGTAAAAATTGTATTACCAGGACACTTGCATTTCATCATAAATTTAGGAAGCAGTTCCTGCAGGGTGACTCTCCTGCCCCTAGTTCTTTCTCATTTATTCTTATTTTTCCTTAGGCAAATCCTAAGAAAATATATGAACCTTGCCATCTCAAATTTTGATAGTGGCATGGTGTAAACTGGAACTGTCTCAACTTCTGCAGTGGTAGATAGGAAGAAGAGAATGAAATTCTGTGCAGCCAAACCACAACAGACACAGAGCTGCATCTTTTAAAATGAATACCTGGAATTGCATAGAGGACAAATAAATATAAATTGTATTTCTAGTTTCTTGTGAGGGATATCAATAAGAATCAGTTATAAAAATGATTAGTTTTCCTCTTCCACGCTATTTAGTCCTAATGGTGAACACGTACAGTTGGTGTTATAATCAGAAGCAATCTGCAAACCATTTGTCAGCCAGCAAGAAAACTTAATTTTTCCCAAGCATTTCAGAAGAAACAGATGTAAAACATGCTTCTGCAGGAATTATATCAGAAGCCCCATAGCTTGCTACTGTCCTTTGCAAAAAAGGAGGATGTGGCACTGGAGGCAGTGCCCCAGCTACCATCAGTAGATGCATTTCTCTACCAACCATCATTACCTCCTGTCTTCTCTAGATTGAGCTTCAAGACAGACTGCTGTCATCCAAGACCCACACCTGGCTAGACAGGGAGGCTACATTATCTGGGTCAGGTGTAAAAGAGAGCTGCATGTCATGGTCATAACTTAGCACTTCATTCTCTCTTTCACCATCCATTACACTCTCAGGGCTGGTAAAGAGTAAACTACTCTTTCTTGTACCTCTGCAAGAAGAAAGAATGGAAGCACTGAAGCTGAATGTTACCTACTTGAGTTATGCTTGCAAGCTGTTGCATGGCACTCCATCCTGTCTGAGTGACGCCTGTTGCAAACCGGTGCTCTTGGGAGAACAGGAGAGAATTCCACCAAAGTGTTCTCAAAAACAAAGCAGACACGTCCCTTTCTGAGGAAGTTGGTGCATGTTCATGTATGGGAATCTAGGTTTCTCCTGCGTAATAAAATGTGGAGAAAGCTGGATATGTCACATTTAGTTGTATGGAAAAGAATAATGATCACGGCATAATGTCGATTTGACTCGGAAATACAATATTGTCATTATCACAATCACACCTATGTCACTTTAGGAGATCCCATCTGAAGCATCATAAAACTAGAAAGAAAAATCACAGATTATTTGAATTGCTACTTTTGTATGCATGTAGGAGAGAAAAGTAAGTTGTCGCTGTCAAAAATATGTTCTGTTAAGGTATCTGATATAATTTTTTCTTTCTCTTCTCCTAAAACAGAGGAATGGTGCCCTCTTTGGCAACCACATAAACCATATTAGCAGTGACAGACGAGACTCATTTCAACAGATCAACACCACACACCGTCCCTTACATGTTCAGCGGCCTTCATTTCCACCTGCAAGTGATACTGAGAAAAATATCTATCATCAGGCAGGAAACTCTGTATACCACAATCATCATCATCACAACTCGGTAGGAAAGCATGTTCCAAACTCAACAAATGCCAATCTCAATAATGCCAACGTGTCCAAACATCATGGGAAACACGCAAGTTTTGGAAGTCGTGAGCACAGATCTGAGAACAGTTACCGTTCACACTCCAGAACTGATCACGAGAAGCGTAGACGGCCAAGCAGTAGGAGGTAAACTCACAAATACCTGTTTGCTTTTAAATAAATTTATAAATACACTACAAGAAACTTCTGCTATTTATAAATACACTACAAGAAACTTCTGCTTTTCACCTGATGATGTATGAGATGTATTTAAAATCTAACTCAGATATATGGAAAATAGATAATTTTAATAAGGTTTGAAAGTAGCAGTTTTCCTTAAAGTGAAGTTGTCAGTTACAGCACAGACATTGTAATTACCAAAGAATTTTTCTTAGTGACTTGTTTTTAAAATATCTTTCTCATTTTCATGGCTTACCTGGATAGAACACGCTACTATGAAACGTATATTAGGTGAGTTGATATTTTTCTGACATAATTGAAGGGGGAAAAGTAATTTTTCTCCTTTCTTTTTTCTCCTTTTTCTTTTCTAAATAAACTATATGACAATGCTTATGATTAATAAATTAAGTGACAATTTCTAAGTCAAATTTTCCACTGCCTGTTCTAAAAGGATAAACTTCTGGTCAAGTGCAAAGTTGTTCAAGTCCTTTTAAAAGTCCAGGCAGGTCTCTGCAGTTTTCAGCATGGTTAAAGATCACACCTGATGATGACCCTTGTTAAAAATTGACTTGCAAAGACTGGAAAATCGCTGGTGTTAGCTTTGATAAATGTTAATGTGTACAGTTCCATTTACAGGGGACTCAAAATCTTTCCTGATCTTATGTCTTAATATTTTCCAAGACAACCTTTTAGAACAGGATCTGTTTTTTCAGTTAAAGTGCATAAATGGACATCCAGTGCTGGTTTTAATGTCTAGAGTTGCACATCCATTTCAGATTTTTCTTGGAAGACCTCACTGAGAAATCATTAATATTTGAGCCATTTCACAAACTTCAGACATTTAAGAGAGGTTGTGCTTCTTCAAATGACTGTGTGTGTGTTTTGCAAAAATGTCTTAAACATATGAGCATCCTGAGCATCCCCTTCCCTGTTTGTATCATAAGGAAATAAAGGGAGAGAATCTTTAAGAAACAGATACATTATTCACGTTTTGAACTGCACTACTCTGCACTACTAAGACACCACCTTCTGAACTAGAGAGTTCTTAATGATTCTTTTTCCTTTGGAAGCACATTAAAAGGGCTGTGTGTAAAATAAACAATATACAATTGATATAAATAGAAAAAAGTAAGTATTTGTTTGCTACTTACAGATCTGACACTGGTGATGGGCGTCGACCTACTATTTGCCGTGAAGAACATGAAGTGCAAGACTATTGCAATGATGATCATTATTTGGGAGAGCAGGAATATTTCAGTGGAGAGGAATATTATGAAGATGACAGTATGTTGTCAGGAAACAGGTGAGGATCTATTTTAAACTAGGAAAAATATTTCAATAAATTAGATGCTGTAGAGGCTTCCCTAAGCACACTCACACTGAAAACTCTGTAATGAAGTTAATATTCCACAACTGCTGGCAAGTAAAATGATGAGTAGGAATAGAGAGTGTACAAAAGATCTTTTGTGTTTGGCATCATGTGCTGACTCCAGCAAAACTTCTGTACCAAATTCAAAGGAAGGACAAAGTTCCTTTGAACTGATTATCAACTTGGAAGTGTATTTATCTCCTGTGATCTTTGCATTCAATATTTTAATTTCAGGTTTAAGAAGAAAAGGCATTGATTTAATTTTGCTAAATTTAAGCTATTCTCTGCAGTTTTATTTCCTATACTTTTTTTGGAAATGGACTGGAGAGAGTTTTTCTAACTTTAGGACGGGCTCCCAAGTTAGTTCAGCTTTGAGCATTGCCAAATTCGGTTTGAGCACTGTGCTGTTGGCTTCAGGCAGCAATGGCTTCAGCAACAGGGCAGGTCTTGACTTTGAACTGGGACTACTCCTGTCTGTAAATAACAGGCTTCCTGTTGTTCAGGCGGTGTTTGGGTGCTACTTTGAGTGGAAGTTCTGATATTCCTGTGGTAGTAGTTTTTAAAATATAAGATCGTTCCAGTGTTTTCTGTCAACCTGTATTTGGTAATACTGCAGGACTTTCTATTTAAAAGAAAAATAAATGCACCTTTTCCTCAAATATCTTGTGATTTCTTTTAATTTCATAACATCCATCTTCTCCTTATGTTGTAAAAAGACATTTACAAGAATGTATTTGTCTTCCTTACAATAGCTGTGTTTCCCTTCTGCAGGATAAATTCAATAACAAAAATAGCCTCTACTTCCATTGATATTTTTTTTTGTTTTGAAGTCCATCCCAGAAGTAGAGGAATTTATTACCATTTTGTCTTACATCCATAAGTGCATATGCACAAGTGCCAGACGTGTTTAATTCTTCTTCTCCTCCTATACTGACTGTCTTCACCATCTGAATTCTGGCAGGATTGGCACCCTAATCTGCATCTTACTGGTTTGTATAAAAGCTAGGATTTGCATGAAAGCTAAATTTTGCGGAATTCTCAGGTCACTAATTTTTTTTATATGATAGAGTCAAATAACACCCTTCCAAGATGTGATTTTAAATGACAAGTATCCAGACTGTAAAAGGCTTAAATCCGTTCTCTGAGAATCTGTGCTCCCACACATTACTCAGGCTTCATAAGACAGGATGGCAGCAGTAGAACAGAGGATTTATTTTATTTTTTTGAGCAGTGTGCAACTGAGGTCTTACATTTGAGCCTGTACTGGTAAGAAGAAATTGATTGAAAATATAATTTGATAAAAATTTCACCTGAGAACTGACTGTGTAACTGTAGTAGTACAAAGGTATATACCTACTATCTCAAAATCCTACAGAAACTGGATTTTAAAACTGACTGGTGCAATTATATAACATAGTATTTAATTTTCTTGCTGGAGAAAGAATAGACTTGAAAATCTTCTAGAAGAAAACTAATAGATCAATTTACAGATACTCACTAAAATAACATTTTCTGTATTTTATTTTAAATGCAGGCATATATATGATTACCACTGTAGATATCACTGCCATGACTCAGATTTTGAGAGACCAAAAGGTTACCATCACCCACATGGTTTTTTTGAGGAAGATGATTCACAGATCTGCTATGATACAAAAAGATCTCCTAGGAGACGGCTGCTACCTCCAACACCACCACGTAAGTACATTAAGAATAATTTGTTTGCAAATCTAGAATTCTTTAAATGCATTCAGACATGTTCCGGTTTAAAAAGGCTTGTTTTCAGCTTGGATTTCAAATGTGACATTTCTTGATTACTTTTGCCAGTGCAATGTTGTGTATGGCAGAAATATTTATCCATCCTGAGAGACTGGCCAGAGAATCTGTAGATCGTAGCTTACAAGTCAGTCTTTCTAGTATTTCTCACCTCACTCATCCAATAATATAAAAATAACCAATGTCATTACTAGTTTTAACTTGATTTGATAAATGAAGAAAGAGCAAGGTGGGATGCAGCAGTAGTTTGCTTTGAAACTTTGAGCAGGGGGTTTCAATCCATGTGCCCTTTACTCACACCTACAGATGTGTGACACTGCTGTCAGTCAGTGCCAGTCTCTCTAGTGATTCTAGGATAATTTTCAGGGAAGAGAGAACCTAGAGTGAGCTTTGTTTTGGCTTTTGCTTTCCTCACTTTTGAAGTGCCTTTAGTTTTTTAACATGCTTCACAAGTTGCTGTGAAAAATAAGTGTTATGCTGAGCTAAGCACCTTATTTCAGATTCACACTGGTATTTTATTCTGTCATCTTGGGAAAAATGCTTAATATTCTGTGTTTCTTCTGAGGGAGAAAATGTTTCAGTTTATAGATTGAGTTAACATTGTCAACAGATATGTTAACCTATTTCTTTAATTTTCATTTATTCTCTTCCTTAGATCTTTCCCTTGGCTTCTCCTTATCTCAAGAACAATATTACTTTATCTGCATTTCTGCAAGCTCTCATGCTTCTCATCTTGTCATTCTCTCTTTGTATGTTCCAGGCCATGCTGCAGAAATCAGCAATGCTAATCCTCTGCTGAAACTAGACATAGACTCAAAACTCTTGGACTTTTGTTCTTTGACCTCTGACACTTCGTAGAGAGAAAGTACAAAAGTGCAAAAGAAACCTCTTTTTAGGGCTCTTTGTTGGTGCAGGAGAAACAACACTCAGCCCTGTGCACCCCCGTATTGTCCCTACGGACACTCTTACACAGTGTGGGCTGCACAGCCAGGTCTGTCACATGTCTCTGCGTGATGCATCTAACCAGTGCCATCCAGGCAAGACAATGCAGGATTGTTTCTAGAAGTCTCCACATTTTATTTGTTCTGAGGTGGAGAGTTGTCTTCCATTCTGATGATGGTAGGAGCCAGAGCCACAGTCCAGTTGTCCATGGAAGGATGACTGCAAGGACCCCGTGAGTGGGAAAATGAGTTTCAGTCCTTTCCCGTTTCAGACACCTTAAAGGAAATGCAGGTATAGATTTAAAAACTAACAGTGTCTCAGAGACAAGTGTGGTGAGATCATTGTATATCTGAGGCACAGTCCCAGACTGTTCAAAGATACAGAAAGCTGTAGTAAAGGGCAGCAGCAAAATATGTTATCATATAATAAAGGTAGCATTCTTCAGCAATACTGTCAGTGTTGGATCCACAGTTTTGGCACTCAACTCCTTATGAAAAGACTGGTAATGCTCTTTGCTTCTTGGCATTCTGACCTTAAGGGGCACAGATGAAAAAGCAAAAAGAATGAGTCTGGTACTGTAAAGAGTAAATAACTCAGATGAACAGTAGTGAAATGTCCAGAAAGCTGGTAGTTGTCTTCCAGTAGCAGAAGGAAAAGACTTCAGACAAAGGAGAGACTGTGAAAGGAGACCCCTGTACATCTTCCAACAAGATTTTATGATAGCAGAGGAATTTTAAGACAACGAAATAGATGCAAGAGAGCAACCTCATAAAAATTCTCTTGGGTCTGCCCTTGAAACTGTTGTGAGGGAAGGGTTGAAGGTTTCCTCTAACTGCAGTCTTTGGCATTCATGTAACTTTTCTGATAAGGTTTTAATGATGGTGTTGGGCAGACATTTCTTTAGAGGAAGTTTCACTTTTTATCTCTCCTACAGGAGATTAGATAAATGTACTAGATAAGAGGGTATTTGATATCCTAGGATAAGAGGACCTAGTTCTGATCTAAGTTGCATAAGAAGTCCTTTGACTCACCAGCATAAGAAGAACATGGTCAGGCCTCCTGTCATAACCATTTATTTAATATTCAGGAACACATTTGAGAAATTTTAGGGGCTTGTTATCTGAGCAGATTTTAAAACAAGCTCAAACCTATTATTTTTAACTAGGGTATGGCCTCTTTGGGCTGAGGAGAATGTCCTTGCATAAAAAAAGAAAGAAAATAAAAAAGGGATCTGCAGCATTGCACTAAACAGTTTCTGCTGGCATCTGGATTCAGTCCACATTGACGTAACCCTTGGCTGAGAGCTGCAGTGAATTGAGCTCCATGTCAAGCTTTAGAGATGTTTTTATACCAAAATCACCACCAAAGTGTTTGAGCAGTTTCCAGAAGTGTACTGAGAAATGGTTAAGTTGTTCCTACAGATGCTTTTCTGCAGAGAAGCATGTGCAAAGAAGAGTCTTGTTTTGGATGAGGGGACTTTTTGGATTGCTTTTTATTTGTTTTGCTATTGGGACATTTAGCATGTTAGGATCAGGAGCTAAGGCTTACATTCCTGTATTTGAATTTACCATACAGACAATGGAAAGAGACAAAATTTGCATTAAGTGGACTGAATCACCTCCTGCAGGTGCTTGTTTTAGGCCAATAGCTCTTTAAAGAACCTTGATTGTTAGTATCCAGCATTAAGTCTCTATGGCACTTAAGTCTGTTGTTCACAAAATTCTTGGTGTTGGAAAAACGATACCAAGAATAGTTTCAATTAGTCTCAAGAGAGCACAGTTTTGTATCATTTCTTGGTACAGTCAGGTTCTTTCCAGTTTTCCACTATGATGCTTGCAGCTGTGAGGATGTATCTGGATTTCAGCTGCTGTTCAGCATCCAGGCTTTCTTCACACTGAAACTTCCCAGTGTTCTGCACGTTTTCACCAAAACCAGCTGAAACATTTCCACATGAATTCAAATTTCTACTTTTTCCTTTTTAGCATTCACATGAATTACATTGTACGTGACAGCTGAGACCAGGGCTGGTCGTTGTCCTGAGTAACAGAATAAATAGTAGGAATTGAGAACATGAGTCAACTTTGACTTGGATATGACTTTTCATATTGCACATGGCTTCCAAGGAACTGGGGATTTGGTATCTGCTTTGGGAAATCTGGTTCATTAGAATCAGGAG